TAATTTGGTAACCAGATTAAAAATGTTGTGACGAACAACTAATAAGTTGACATTTGAACAGCATCGTGCACAATATCCATGATGATATATATACTAATTGAGTAAAGATTTCATTTGGGGAGTCTGCAAACACTAGGGACTTGGGGAAATTTTGGGTTTAGGAGTTTCTGAGGAACCAGACTCTTCGTTTTGTTATTATCAAGCTTAATTTGAAAAACTGAGCGTTATTTATCTAATTAGAAGGATCCTAATTAATGTTTTAATTGCGCCTCAGCCATTTCATACAAAGGCAAAGTGCATCACGCTGTCTTAAATTCTATTTATATCTACTGGCTAGATGCTATTGGGGGGTATCTTGATCAGATGAAATTAGGCTTTTTTAGCCTAAATTTCTCTCCTATATCCTCGCCTGTTTTTAAACAATGGAGAATACTATGCGCGTGTGGCAAGAATCGAAGAGCTTTGCCATCACTGTTTTAATGCCACAGGGCTAACACAAATATGGGAAAGGATACCTCAGAAAAGCAGCATTAATGACAGAATTATTGCATTGCAGTGTGATTTTGGGTGACATCACTAAAGTCAAATATGGCTATCACTGATATGTCATAGAGAAATAAACTTTTACCCATCTGAACGCCTCCAAAGTCAGGTTTGCTCAACACTTAGGAAAAGCTTTAATCTGACAGCTCAGTCTATGTGTGGAAGCAAATCCCACCATTTTCTGTAGTTTACGAAGGGCTATCTAGTGTCATTTCCCTGATTGAAGGAGGTACACTCAGTCTGGACCAAATGGATTCACTTATCACAGAAAAGGCACATCTGAAGTGCTGAGTCTCTTTAGTCAAGGTTAACTTTTGCTCAGAAGGCAAATAATGCATTGTTTGGGAAAAGCTTGCTATCTGCATCAAGATGTGCAGAGGTTAAATGTAACAAACTATCATCATTGAACATCTGCTCACAGGGACAGTTCCAATTAAAATAAACATTTTAATCTGCAGCTAAATACATTAAACTGTTTTTGTTAGCTTGTTTCTACATTTTATTGTTGACATTTTTATAGTGCTGCAGAATTATGCTTGTACGCCACCTTGAGGACCTAGCTGATAAAAAGATGGGATTATAAACTTTAGCTTATTGGATCTACCTTTAGAATGGATCCATTGAAATAAATGGAAGTCAATTAGTCATGATTAACTTAAGCTCTGTTGATTTCAATGAATTTAATCTAGATATAATTAAGCTTGGACCCAACCCATAATAATTAAATGACTAGCTGTTAGTATGTTCAGATCTAATTACAGCATGAATATTAGAGTTTCTAAACTTCGCTTTTAGAACCTAAATTTCATTCTCTGACACATCTGCATCGATTAGCATTTTAATTTGACAGTAATATAGCACCATCTAGTGGCTTATTCAATATTTAAAAACAGTTGGTAAGGAAGCCTAAAATAGAACAGTATTACACACCACAGAAAAAAATATATAAAATGACTGCACAATGCACAATGCACATTGCAGAAAGATGCGCGAAGCAAATACCACGCCTCTTTACAATTCTCTAAAGCACCTCTGCCTAACGGATGGATGGGAAGCAGAGAGCACTAAATCTCACACTGCAACCTTACTGGCTTTCCAAAGAAATTGCTTAATAAAAAATGGAAGATACTCAACGACCAAAAGTTAGTGCTTATTTAAAGACTCGACAGTAAAGGCTGTCCAGGAACAAAACAAAAACCAATCTGGAAACGGGTGGCATGTAACAAAGCTTTTCAAATGAATAAGAAATAGTTTACTTGCTTTTAAAATTAATACAGTTCCTCTAAATCTGTATTGAAAGGTAAAATGAGTTGTTCCAGTCCTTGAAGTGTTCTTTTCAAGTGAATTGCATCATACATTTTGAAACACCTGCATATAAATAATTTCCCCATATGGAGCAACGTTTCACAAAGGAGTGATGATGTAAAAAGATCCTACCATGTGTAGGTCACTGCTTCTCTACATGTTGAAAAGACACTGTTTATTATATCTTCCCAGCATATTTTCAGGTAGCGCTTCACATGGTGCATTACATTATCATCAGCATGCATCTATTACTTCCTGTTACACTGCAGAAGAGTAGTTTTGTAAATGTAACAAATGGAGGACTATGCAATAACTGGACTATTTGTGAAATGGCCCTGTGAGCTCCTGTAAGGAGCAGTATTTCCAATCAATCTAAAGTCCTAAGCCTTGCATTATGTAGCCATGTCACTACACCCACTCCTCATTTAGCAACTATCTTGGTTAGCGACCATTCGCAAATATGACGGTAATAAAACATTAATTTTCCAACCAATGCATCCATCTAAGACCAAATTTTGTGTGCCTGACAACAATGCATGCTGGTGAGAGAGCAACACTGGTGTAACTATACAAGAGAACTTTATCTGAATGAGACATCAGCAGCCAGTGATCTCTGCAGCATCTCTCTGTCATTTGTTCACTTAGCGACCATTTCGCTTAACAACCCGGTTGTTGGAATGGAACTCAGTTGTGAAATGAGGAATGGGTGTAGAAAGCCTTCAGCCTGCCCAAGTTCTAAGCCATTCTTCCCATGCCTATCCAGTTCCCATTTTAGTGCAGGTCTCAGTCAGATCCATACCACATGACATATCATTGAATGCTACATCCAGATTTTGCTATATCTCATGCAACTGCACATGGACAAAAAGCACACTTCAGGTGTTCGTTACAGAAGCAAGTTTCTGGCCCTTCCTCTCTCCACATTTTGGTACAACATTTAAAATCACTATAATCAGAATATTAGTTTTTGCCAAGCCCTTTCCTGATACCAGGCATAATTAACCAACCTCCCAAATCACCAGCAGAGTCTTCCATCCCTCTTTAATATTTGGGGAAGGCAACATGTTCCGGCTCACTTTGCCTTCCTTGATTCTCTTTCTTAGCAGATAATTAACCTTCCATGCTGGACATTATACAAACTCTTAGCCATAGTCCACTCAGTTATTACGATGACCATTCAAAGTCAGCATATCATTCCAAGGCAAATTCCAAAGCTTTAGGCTTATGATTGATGAGAAGTGCATCAAGGATCCAATGTTTCTTCAACGATTAAGGATTAAATGTTTGCTCCAGACAAATGGTTTTAGAACATACATTTATAAATCCTGGCACATGTGATAATAAATATTTAGTGATCTGACACTATATAAAAATGGCCGCTCACAAATAAATGCCTGTTTTACAATGTAAATTTCCCTTTTTTTTTTTTTTTTTTTTTAAGAAAACCATTCCAATACTGGTCAACATATGTTTTTTGCTTACTTAATGATCCTTTTAAGAAGTTGGGGGTTTCATGTGGAAAGTACCGTCTTCAAGTTGTTGGGACAGAGTTTTCTCAGTCAATTGCCCCAGTGCAAGAAGGGAAGGCAAATCTTCATAATTCAGCCCATTTCAGAAACCGCAGGTTCCCTTTTGCAGCAGGGCGTGACAAGACCCCAGAGGCTGCTCCTTTTTTCCCTATAGACACGACAGCAAGCAGGGCCACTCTCTGAACAACTGCTTTGGATTATTTAAACAAGGAGTCAATAATATCAATCGTTAGGTATCATCCAAGAATTTATACTCTTCTACTTTTGGATACAAATAAGAAAGATTCCTTTTCGTCAAGGGCAGAACACCCTGAATCTAGGCTGTAAGCATTCAAACTACAAACATTCAAATGGTGCATGTTAGTGTCCATAACTTTCTTATGCTTTTCCTATACTCTCAACTGCAAGAGATGTAGATAAAATTAATTCAACTCAATTTCGGTATTATAGTTATTTCCATAGTAAATAACAAGCAACTTAGTGTCAGGAGCCTACCCTGATCCTGTTTGGACTTTTGGAATGCACATTACAGTTCTAGCAAATGAAAAATAGCCAATGATGAACACTCATGGAAAATCATTTAGAAAATAGTATTCAACAGTAAACATTATTTTTCCCACCCAAAAATAACATAGGACCATTTGGGCAATTGTTTAGAACAATGCTAACAGAACCCTAAAAAGGATGTAGACAATGTTGAAAAAAGCTTAGAAAAGTTAGAATGACTGCAGGAAGGTTAGCAAGATAAATCAAGGAGACTAAAGAGAGTGGAAATTTTGTCCAAGTGAGGAAAATGAAGAAAGTGACCTTTAAGACAGAAGTAAATTGGTAAGGTAAACACACTAAGATCCCACGGTGCAGTAACAAATTAAAATATTTCATCCATAGGCTCTCCCCCAAATGTGTAACGAAGTATGCACACCCACAAGGAAGCAAGCAGAGGAGTAGCAAAACTAAATGTGTAGGTAGTTCTCGGTTAACAATGGTAATTGGGACTGGTAACTTGTCGCTAAGTGATGTGGTCATAAAGCATATCACGTGACCACACCGACTTATGATGGCAGTTCTGGGAGTTCCAGTTGCAGTCATTAGGTGAATCCTGTGTAGTTGTTAAGCACAACATCACGTGATCGCCATTTGCAACCTCCTGCCAGCTTCCCCACTTACTTTGCTTGTTGGAAGCCAGCAGTGAAGGTCGCAAATGGTGATCACAGGACCACAGGATGCTGCTACCATTGTAATTGCGAGCTGGTTGCCAAGCACCCAAATCATGATCACAGGACTGCAGGGATGCTGTAATGGCTGTAACTTTGAGAACTGGGTATGTCTCCTCATTTAGCGCCATTCTAACTTCAAATGGTCACTGAACAAGTGGTCATTAACCAAGGTCTACTTGTATACATGACAAGTCTGAATGTGAAATACATATAGCCATAGAAATAAAAACATAGATAAGCATGCTTCAAAGAGACACTTCTATTTTAATTAAAAAAGAAACGACAGTGCCAGATCTGGATTGCACTGATTAGGATTGAGGTGAATTTCTGTGAATTTTGAGGTGAATTTCTATGAATCTCTGTGAATTTCATGCCAAAATCCCCTCCTTCAGCTGTGATTTGCTGCTTTTAAAAAAAAAAAAAGTGTACCATTTAAACATGTCACACATAAGTTGCATCATCAACCTGATTTCTTAGCCTTTCCACTAAAAATACTGACTAGATGCAGCTCAGCTGGATTTTCATTCGCAGATCACTCTCAGTGCTGTGGAATGTCGAAAGAAAGAAAGAGAGAGAGAGAGAGAGAGAGAGAGAGAGAACGAACAAGGGAGGGAGGAAAGTAGATAGGTAGGTAGGCTACAAGGCTGCAAAATTCTTGCTACTTGTCACAAAAGGAGAAAAAAGGTCCAGTGTGCTTATCTTCCACTCCACTGCTTTGGAGCAGTGAGGCCGACAACCCTAAAATAAATATGAAGATTATAGTGCAAACACGGTCACCTTAATAAATAGATCATGCATAATGCAAATTCCTCAAGTAAATTAGGACAGGAATTGTCAGTTAAGAAAGTAATAATGCAGAAATAACATGCTTGGAGGGAGACATTATATATGACTGCTGCCCATTTAACCTTTTTCACTTCTCCCTCCCTGAAACAAGTTCATAATTCATGATTCTACTTCAGAAGAGCTGACATTTTGAACACTTCAGTATTTAAAAAACTCTGCAAAGGCCAATTATTTGACCTAGAATTCATCATGTTTTCTCCTAAACGGCCATTTGGAGTGTTGTGACACATGATCTGCTGCCAAGAGAACCAGACGGACAAATTCTTCCACATCGAAGGCATAATTTGTAAACTTTGGATGTTTTCCTAATGTTGGGTGATGCCCCTGAAGAAACAGGAGTTAAAATTATTTTAAGGAAGCATTGGGAAAAAGCAACACATTGAGTAATTATTTGAATTCATAATAGCTGATTTATCGATCCACCCCAAAACAACAGTGTCAGTTAAAAACCCCCAACAGCAATGCTATTGACAGCCTGAACTAACGGCCAATTAATTTCATTACTCTTCCTCCCCCAGCCATTAATATAAAATGACTCCTTAATCAGAGCAGAGAATTTAATTTGGGCCGTAGAGCAGAATCATATTTCATGGAGAAGAACGGAGAAGGGTAATACAAAAACAATTAAGACCAAAGGAAATAAAGTCCTTTCCATCCATTCCACCCACCCTTCCAGTACCTCATCCTGGGGGAACACTTTATCCTTCTGCTGCCAGGTGATGTAACGGATGCCTCTCAGTCTTGCTAGATCTAAGTAGCAACGTTCATCCTTGCAGTTGTACCTACAGAGGTGGAGAAACGATGGGCATTCATCAGAAACAAAGAAGGGACAATCCTACCAGAAAACTAACTGGCTGTGTTTTTCTTGTTCCATCTCTATCCCTTTAGAAAGAAGAGCCAGGGCGTGGAAAGCCAAAGGCCAAACATTTCATGTTTACTTTTGTCTGCGTTCAGTTGTATCACCTATGAAACTGGAGAGAGAGGATGGAGAGGAAGAGAAACTGCAGCAGCCACACAGAGTTTTAAAACACGGTATCTTCACCGCCAGCAAGAGTAATCCAATCGGCAAACTTGGCCATGTTCTCATGAGAGAGAAGATAAAGAAAGAAGCAGCCACGAAGAGCAAGTATATCATGCTTGTAGTTGATATCAACAGGACTTGCCTCAGGGTGAAAGATTAGATGTGATTTTTTTAGATCACCCTGGCAACAACTAGTTTTTCTGACAAGCCACCCAGAATAGGAGACTGGATTTGGCCAGGAGGCCATCTGCTGTCAACCTCAATCCGAAGTCAGCAAACAGGGTTACCGCATCGATTTGAAGCATTCCTGGATTTTTACCAATTATGACCAAGGTAATTTTGACAGCTACTGTGACAGGGAAAGCCATGCAATCCTTCACTGTCATGCATATATTAAAAGGCACAAATCTGAAGTTTCTCCTGCAGCAGGAAATCCATCTTCATGTAATGCACACCCACACCCTCTTGCACAGATATTAAACATACAAGCGCAACTACCATGGAAAGACTTACAGTTCCAAGATGACAGCCCAATCTGGCAGGAATAGAAGATGGGTAAGCCCTGCTCCATGCATTCCAATGAATATTTCAGAATTGTGGGTTATCTTCAGCTGCTCCTTAAATGCCAGCTCCCTGTACAAGCCAGCATAAGAAAGGATACATATAAACGCACACACATGCGCACACACATATATATGCAAACACACACACATATACACACACACAAAAGTTTGTGCATACGGGAAAAGCACAAGAGATCACCATTTTCACACTGCTCAAGGATATGAAAAAGTTCTCTGGGATTGGAAAGTGTAAGAAACACATTAGAAACAAACATTTCCTTGAGCTACATCACCATCTTATTTATTTCTAAACTGCCCCACCACTACAGTTACCTAGGTAGCTTGCAAATCTATTAAAACGTGCAATATAAATCAAAGAGACACAAAACGATCAAAACGGCAGCATTATAGTGATTAAAACCGCCAGCCATAATAGTATATGAAACTACACCTGACAAAAACCAAAGTAAAGCCCGCAGCAAAACACAAACTCTAATCTGATTTCCTAAAGTGCCTGGAAGAATAGCATCTTTCAAAATCTTCATCATGCACATTATTTCTGGGGAAATAATTCCACCAATGGGGTGCCAGCAATGAGAAGGCTCTTTCTGTTGTAGCCATCCCATCTGCGAGGGAGTGGAGGCCCTGGAGGAGGGCCTCACATGGAGACTGAAGGGTCAGGTCAGTAAATCCATTTACAGCAGCATCTTACTGCCTGGAAACTAATTAAAAGGCTGCCATGCAAATATACATTAAAAAAGGTTTCACAGTCTAGTGCTATGCTTAGACAAGTACATTACTAAATTCAAATCCATGGATTAGCCTTAATATCAGTATGTTTTTCAGATGTATATTCTAAGAGGTAACAGCGTAATCCTGTTATACGTCATGGGGGTTCATTCACTAGGAAGTTTTCTACAACTTTAGCATTTCAAAGTAATTGGGCTGTACCCAATGATGGCTTTGTGCTATCAAAAAGTACTTTGGTGTCTTCAAAACGAGTCACTGGACCTCTGTTCTTAGTCCACTGCAATTGCTCCTCAGAGGGTGTGGGGAACCTTCTGAAATACAGCACAGGTTCCTGTTAAGTAAGGAGGTTCAATGATCCTTGTCTCATGCTAGCCCCCCCGGTGTACAGCCCATCACTGCGGATACTGATATGTGATACTGACATGGTATGAAGAACTGCAGGCCAGCTCTACTCCCTCTCTCTACAAGTAAGATGCACTTACTTGTACTTGTAATTCACTATTTGGACATCAAATAATGGCAGTGTTTTCAAGGCACTGGCGAGCTAGAGAGCGAGAGGAAAAAACAAGAATTTTAAAGGCAGTATTAATGTTACTTTTTCTTATGTGACAACCATAAAACAAGAGATTTAACTGAAGAGAAAATTACCAAACCTCATTTTGGTTTAATATCTTTCTATACTCTGTACTTCGGGCAAGTATTGTAACTCTGATTTTTCCTTCCTGTTGAAAAACAAAAACAAAAAAATTCAGCAAAAACAGTTCATTAATCAATTCATTGCACCACAACAAAGAGAAGGGCTAGCAAACTGACAACAGAAAAAATTACCAGTCTTAACAGAAACAATTAGTAGGGTGATTAAACTGTCTTTTCCTTTTAATCACCTCATTTATATAACATGCAAGAAGGCCACAAACACCTGAGGTGGAGTTTTAGGAGGAGTATTTGCCACAAACAGCTAAGCCATTTAAGGGACTTTCACCCAACGCTACGCCAACTCAGAAGGCTTTTAAATACTTTATGTTTATTGAATACAAAATGGACAACATCCTTGAATACTATTGCTGAATCTGAAAAAGGCCACTTTATACACAAGTGAGTAATGGAGGAAAAAGCAAGATTTGCACTCCAAATAAAGTTGTTATTTTCCTTCCCAATTTAAAAATCCATTGGATCCTCAGGGGTAAATTGTAAAAAAAAGAATACAAAGGTTTAACTGCATGACATCTATTAAGACCAGCAGGAAATGTGTAGCAAATAGCTGCACAAAGCTGGAAAATGTTAGCCCCTTGTGATGAATATGCTGTATATTCTACAGTTAATATTTTAAGGAGCTAAATTGATTTTCCTTCCACAGACTGTAAAAACAGACAAAAATAACAGCCATGTTAACTAAAAATCAACAAAATTATTGAATAGGAAACGGTGACCAAGGATTTACCAGGAGGCCTTAGAGAAGAAATTCCGTCCCACAAGAACTCTTGTGCAGTGGAAACAGGTCTGGGGCTACTGGACATATCACAGCTACTGGACATTTACGTACAAGGCACTGTCCTAATTATTATTCTGTTATTTGTTTGTTGACGCAGCCAGTATCCCCTTGACCCCTGCAAGAATACCCTCCCAATCCTGTGGGGGAGAGACAGCAACTGGCTCAAAGCTATTCAACCAGTTTCATAGCTGGGGACTGGGGGTGGGGGTTGACTCGAGGTCTCTCTAGTCCAACTTTCTGGCAATGGCCATCTTTTCAAATACAGAATTTTCTATAGTGTCTTCCCAAGCAAAAATAGGACTACTTCAACTACAAATATACTGATACAGGATATCAGAACTGTTCAAACAGTGTTTCTAAAACCTTTTGCTCTCAGGACCCCTTCCCACTTTTAAAAATTATGGAGGACCCCAAAAGAGCTTTTGTTTGTATGGGTTATATTGATTGATACTTACCGCATTGAAAATTAAAATTGATACATTCATAGAATATTTATTTATTGAATCATGTAAAAATAATATTAAATCCATTGGATATTAAATAAAATATTTTTCATGAAAAAAACCCTATTTTCTTTAACAAATATGAAAATAATCATGAGAAGAGTGACACTGTTTTAAATTTTCACAAATATCTTCAATATCTTGCAAATAATTTTGATTTCATGGACCCCTGAAAGGGTCTTGGGGGACCCCCAGGTGTGCCAAGGCTACACTTTAAGAGACGCTTTGTTAGGAAATGAGAAAAGTCTTGGAACCAGGGGTGGGGTGTGGGAGCATGCAATTTCAGTTTCGTTTCAGTAGCAACTGTTACAACTGGACCAGTACCTTAGGCCCCTCTTGGGTGATATTTAATCTGTGCAGCACGTGCTGGGAAAAGGCTCTGAATAATCCTGTCCCATGACAGCCGGAGATCTGCAATCAGACCGGACACAGGAATAAAATGTAAACATGTTTGTTTTCTATTTTTTAATTGTATGTATGTGGCATACATACATACATACATACATACAAGGGGAGGGAGGGATGAGGGGGGGGGGAATTCACCAAGTTTATTCGGACCCAGGTATTTTGTTTGTTTTTTAAAAGAAAAAGGAAGAGTGTGGAAATCTCACCAGATTTACTCACCAATGGTGTATTATAAAATAAGCCAAACCTCATTCGAGGCAATAGCGTAAAAACTGCTTCTTTGAAGCAGACCTGGAAGGGAAGATAATTAACAACTTACAAGGATTCCCCTTAATATATAAGGAGAGAGGCAGATATGAAACAGGATCTATTAACACTGCAATGGAAAGTAGTTCAGAATATCAGTTGGAGACTTCCCTGGGTTAAGTACTGAACCAATGATTGGGGATGAAATCTGAACAAAAATATAAGTTCATGAAATTTTCTGAGCGCGTGCATGTGGATGAGAGGGTGACATTAAAGGAGCAAAACATCATGGGAGAAGTGGGCAGCGCAGAGGAAGTATCAGAAACACATTCAGACCAAGAGAAGGTGTCACACCTTCTCATGATAGCCTAGGAGCCACCACCACCAATTCTCCAAAATCATGTAAGAATTTTGTACTGCAACACATATTCTCATGTGAAAATGACAAACTCTCACAACATAAAATCATTTCAAGAACTACTGTAATGTTAGTTTAATGGTAGGAGTTGTGGCACTATTTTGAAAGGTAATTGGCACCATTCCATTTACTAATTTCTGCTACCATACACAACAAAAATTTGGAGTGCCTGAAAATACTAGCAAATGTATTGTGGTCTATGTTTTCATGCCCAGAGAGGCCTCCCATAGAATTTTTTAAAAAACTATTTAAAATGCCAGAAGACCGTCATGCTCACATTCAATAACCTTTTCCAGTCTCATAACCTATGTTTTGTGAAACTGGTAGGGACTATAAGAATTTGCACTTTTGCCTGCCTGCCTGCCTGCCTGCCTGCCTGCCTGCCTGCCTGCCTTGCTTCCTTCCTTCCTTCCTTCCTTCCTTCCTTCCTTCCTTCCTTCCTTCCTTCCTTCCTTCCTTTAGGAATTCATTCCTGGCTTACATTAAACTATAGTTCCTTGTTTCATCCAAATCCAAGTAAGATACCTTCCTGGTTTATGAAGCTGGGAAAGACCACCTAAGCCAGGCAGCTCCTACCTTGACCTTAGCTATGACAACTACAGCAATCAAAAGACCACATGCAAAGAATAACTACAAAACATTAGGCATGATCACCACAAAACGAAATGTTCATTAAGTCTAAAATATGAGCAGTAATGTTTAAAAATGACATAATATTCCATACCCTTTTTGAATCATACGATTTCAAATGTATTATTTCATAATCCGTAAATGCCTTCCATGTTTCACTGAACAAATCTCCATATCCATATGCACTCTGAAAAAACAGAAACAAGTACCAATAAGATTTTCCCTTAATCTCACATTGTTCAAATTTGTGTGTGTCTATTTTATCCTTAATTCAGGCATGAGTGACCACACCTGAATGTGAATCCTACAATGGAGGTCAGGAAAGCTTTAATTCTTGCTTTCTGTAATAATGCTAAGCTGGATCAGGACCCTATATCTAAAATCTGATTCGAAAAAATGGTCCCATTCACAAGGCCTGTGAATGATTCTGTTCTTGAAAAAAAAACTTGGACAGTTTTTTGTATATGAACACAGTCAAAATAAGACCCACAACTGTTTATGCATACATTTAACCTCTCACTTGACAAGTAACCGCATGCACTTTGATCTCTTGAAACGATTCAGTACATGTCCTGGTGCCTACAGAGATCTTTGCTTTTAAAGGTTTTTCATATTTTATTTGCTGAACCATACAGAAAGCCCACAACTGTATGGATATTAGTTCTCAAATAAACCTCAAAAGAATCCAAAGATGGGAGCAAACTATTTTCTTTTCCTGTTTTTAATTTCTTTTTGGAATTCAAATATATACTTACCTTTTTAAACAAAATAAGATAAAATAAAAGGTACTTACCTAATACATTATAAATCTGATCCCAATTACTAAAATCTATTTCATACAATAAAACTAGAAGCAAGGTAAAACAATTCAGCATCAAAGAGATAAAAGATTAACCCCTACTCAAAATATGGTGAAATCAATGTAAATCTTAGTAGTCCCCAAAGCTTAAAAAAGAGAAACACAACTGAGAGACATGAAGAAAAATATGATATTGGTGCAGACTGTATGAATATGCTCTGATAACTGAACATATGTTCTGCATCTTCCATGCTCTTTTTCTGATTTTAACAGCTGAAATAACCACTTAAGGTAAAATAAATATTTTTTTTAAAAAAGTATCCAGCAACATTAACCTAAGAGGCACACTAAGATTTATTTCCTGTTTCTCCACATACATTTGCAATTATATTTTAATAGATGTGAGGCTTTTTCTCCAGTCTGGAAATATATTGGATTTCTGCCCATCAGCAGAACCAATGCCAGCTAGAGTTCACAGAGTTCAATACAACTGGAAGACACTAAACTGGGACAGCTGACCTAGCAACTCTCCTACCATCATACACCTGAACTGATGTATTGCCAAAGGTCCTTTAAGAAACAACCACCTCTTGCCATTTATATTTGTTCAGAAACATGCTGAATGCATGTTTTTTAAATTGCATTTCTGTTCTATTTCACTTACATAAAACTTTTAAGAAGTTTTTATTGAAAAAACTAAAACTTCAAACATTTTAGTAGAAAGTTGTACCTGTTAAAGTTTAGTTAGCTTTACTTAGTAAAAAAAAAAAAAATTAATAAGGGTTGTAAACCTGCAACAGCCAAAACCTATGTGTGCTACATAAAGATTATGCATAAACTTCTTCAGCTCTGTTCAGCGAGTTAAAACAGTACACTGGCACCATCATCTGGCAATACTAGGAATTAAAATGTTATCTGACCTAAATCAATGAGCAAGTATATAATGTTTTTGACTCATTTGTTTAACTGGGTTCTCTTTATCTAGCTTTAGGACTTGCATGGAGAACAAATCATGTTTTAGGTCATATTTAGGCAGAAATATTGAAAATTCAAAAGGCTCACAATTTTTTAAGCACCACTGCATATAGTGCCTTTATTTTTTACAGCTCAGTGCAACATATATAATATTCCCTCCTCCTGTGAGATGGGTGGGTTGAGAGAGCATGACTGGCCCGAAGCCATACAGCTGGACTCTGTGTGTAAGAAAGGATTAGAATTCATGGTCTCTAGTCTAACACCTGCACCACTACACCAAATTCTGGCTCATAGCTCTGTTACTCTCACTGAAGAGTATTTTGGCTAATACCCCTGGTGCTCTTACTGGTCCTGGTTGTTCTGTCACCCTTGGGCAGAATCTGAGCATCAGCTTTTTAATAAACAAGTAAAGGAAGTAAAGGAAGCCCAGTAACACATCTGATGGAATACAAGTTTGAGGTGATCAAACACAGTGGTGGCGGTAAGCTTGATCTGGACTTAGAAGAGGCTAATGGCCATAAGCAGTAGCAAGTATTTCCTTCTATGACAAAGAGCCTGAGAAGTGGATGTTGGACAGACTCCATCAATCCTGAAGTAATTGATTAATATACAGAGTCACAGACCAAAAAAAGACAAGCATTAAGAATACAAATTACAAATATCCAGTAAAAAACTGATGTTGCTCTAGATATATTTAGTTTCGGGTCTGAACATCTATCTTGGGGAAATAAGCATGTAAAAATAGCTGATGAGCAAAAGAAAAGAGAATCTTGCATAAAGGAGCTATGCAAGAATGCTAGAACAAGAGACAGCAATCCTGCTGCCATCAAAACCCGAATCTTATTCCTTGGGAGAGCTTTGATAGAAATGTATCTCATTTACCATACTCACTGTAGTGGTTTATGCCAGTCTATAGCTGACTATTAACAATCCTCCCAAGGTAGCAATAACTACAATTTATCCTGGTACCTGGAACTGTTTACATCAGACAAAATAATGTCTCAAATAAAAGGGTTATACCCTAACCTTAACCTTAATCCTAACCATCCTCATGTTCTTACTTACAGTATCCCACATAACAATGTTGATATCAGTGCTGAAGGTGTTGGTAACATGCTGAGTGATGTAAAGGTTCACAAAGTCACAAAAATGATGGTACATATTGACACCTGAAAGGAGGAGGAGGAAAAACTAAGGTTGTAGTGAACTACATAGATAATTATTTACAGCTAAGGCTTGCAACTTTATGCAAAAACGTATGTTCCATAGGTACACCCATGCCACAAGGCAGAAACACAAGTTCAAATTACGAATTACTTAATTCATGAATTTGTCATTAAAAATACATTTAAGAATCTGAATAAGGATCAGTTTTGAGACTGGATTGCCTCAAGCTATTATTATTGGCAGTGTATGGTTTTTAAATGAAATCCAGTCATAAGAAGCTACTAATCTGATCAGAGCAGTAATCTTGGAAGAGTGGATTTAAATTCTTCCATTCTGTTTTCATGATAAAAAGTAACACCGTCATCTGCTTGCCTTACACTATCTGTTTTTTATTTCCCAGTAAGTCACAAACTCCTGGATGGTATTTTGACGGTGGGGAGTGTAGTGAGAAAGGGAACTTACATGGACACAGCCAACATTTTGTATTTTAAGAAAACCTTTAAAAGGGCTACGTTCAATTTTACACTGAAGTGTTTTGATCAAAATATCATCTCCAACCAGAAATGAGTTCAGTAAAAAATCAAGTTATGGCAATTTGCTCAGCCCAGCTTATTTCACACTTAACTCCAAATTATAATGTGGTTTGTTGGTTTTGGCTTAGTGTGACATGCAAGCCTACATATTATGACTTCACATTATGTGTGAATCAGGTCATTATGGCTTGTTCATATCAATGTGAGCAACTGCCATAAGTGTTGGCAGTTATCTAGAACCAGTACTTTAAACAATTGCACAGGTTTATGCAGAAATAGCCTTTAGATACTAATCAGAGTAGCTTATAATTAGTACCTCCTAAAATTTACAGAAATAGAGCCTCTCTTACTAGTATATAGAAATGAAGAGATACTTTTGTTACACTTTGGAATGTGAAAGCATCAAAATACCTTGTACCTGCATCAAGCTTCATGAAATAAGTTGGTTTCTCAATAATGACATCACAGCTGCCATCTTCCAATGGTCTAGAGCTCATCTCCGTATATGTCTGGAGCTCAGCAAACCTGTAATTACCACCATTTAAATCAGGCTTCAAAAATGTATTCAAGGCTGATTATTTAAGTAATGCACTACATAGACTTCTCTTAATGTTGGTGAAGTTTTACAAAATTTGACAATTAAAATTATTTTAATTGTAACGGAAGCCTCTTCAATAAGGCTTCAAAAGGTTAAGCTCTGCTTTGAACTCAGACACATGCAACATCTTTGATCTATAAATTAAGGGCTGGGAAAAGTAGAGACAGTTTTCCACTCTGTCCAAGTTTCACAGGTCCAGCTAATTGGAAGATTCATGTCAAATGTGTTTACCTTGAATTTCAAGATACATCAGCAAAGACATAGTTATTAATGACTGCAGGTACATAACAGACAGAATTTGAGACCAATTAGCAGGATCCACAGAACAGTCCAGCTTGAGCAAGTTGCCATAAAGAATTATCAGCCTTCAAGAAACACTGTAAGGGTGACTTAGAACAGGGAAGCTCCAGGTCCCCTCTATTAAACAATGTCATCTTGCAGGACTAACGAAACATGCCTTCTCTCTGCAGTGCCTGGCCTATGGAACAGCCTCTCTTTTGAGATTCAGAGGGCCCCAACTTTCTGGAAGGCCATTAAGACCTGGCTCTTTTCCCCTGGCCTGGATGTTAGAAGAGCCCCTGTGTTTGTATTGTAAGTAAGTTGTTACATGCTGCCTCGGTTTCCTTTTGTAGTGGATTATTTTTATTATATTTTTGTTTGGTTGTGGGCTTTTTAAATATATATTTTAATAAACTGCCCAGGTTTATGTATTTAAGATGGGTGGCCATATACATTTTCTAAATAAATAAATAAATAAATAAATAAATAAATAAATAAATAAATAAATAAAATTATTACTCCCAAGAATCCCATGTTGGCTCCACAGATGTTCTTTGAAAATATAAATTGTGGGTAACTGCAGCTCAGTTCTGTGTTTATAAGTGTCTTTACCAATCCCTAGAGCAAGTGATGAGGAACACCCTCACCAGTTTGCCTTCTGACAGATGGATTTTTCTGGCAAGCCAAACTTATTATGGCAGCCACTTGGTAGATGGGCAAATCCCCCCCCACCCCGAACACACATTTTCTGGGCATATCTTGAACAAGCTCCCAACATTCCAAAAGTAAACACCAGCTGAAAAAAGATGATCTTTCAGTAATCTACTGTATATCTTTATTCACTATTAATCGCTATTCCTGGAACAGGAGAAGAGGAGCATCCAAGATGTCTGTTCTGCCAAGATGCCTGTTGTGAAGAAATAAAATAACATACTTACAAGACTTACCAAGATTGTAAAGGGCTCTTTTGTTGTCCTTCAGCAAGGAAAGCTTTAGTATTCATGTTGCAGTGGCCTCCTATTTGACCTTTCTTGAAGAAATCTTCATTAAATCTAATCAGGAAGGAAGGAAGGTTAAAACAGGATCAAATAAGTTAAAAGCAAGAAGCTCATTTTTGAAATTTAGAAAATGCTTTCTCTTAGTGTGAGCCATGAAAGCTTTGTTTTACACTTGCTGGAATCATAAAACAGATCATAAGGAAAGAAACCAACTTCATTTTTAATAATTTTTCCCTATTGGAAGCAATCAAGTAATACGCAAAAGCATTTTTTCTTGTTTCCAACAAACAAGAATTCTAAGGAATCGTTAGCCTTGTTCAGGTACTATGTTTCCATGTACCATTCAATACTTAAGGTGTCACGAGCAACTCCTCTCTGTACAAATCAATCACTGAAGATCTGGCTTCCACAGGCTTTGACTATTATGATGCCTCAACAAGTATTATACAAATGTCATGTTCTGGAGTTTCTCGGGTTCAAAATAACTCCAACAGATGATAAAGGGAAATTACTTGCATATGCTGCAAACACAGATCTTAATAGTCAGTGGGTTTAACAAAGGTATTAAAAACCCACCTTGGCTGCCATGGCTGTAAACCCCCAGCTTAAGATCTATTCCAGTGCTTCCACATATGCATTTGAAAATCTATTTCTTAAGGCTGTCGCAGTTCCTTGTGCTGCAGCAAAAATCTTCCCAAAGTAGCAAGTTAGAAATTGAGAAGGGAAAGTTATAGAAACACACTCCATGCAAAGTATTTACTTATTTGGCCCTTTAACATTTAAAACGTCCGCAGTGCATTTAGAATGGCCAATTCTACTTTGCTTGTCAGAAACAGATATAATGTAGAACATGGTTGCAATTCAGAGGAAGAACCTGTGCTTTATTTATTTATTTATTTACTTAGCAAATTTATATAGCTGCCCATCTCACAAAAAGTGATTCTGGGCAGCTTACAAAGCGCTAAATGAAAAACTTTTATCGCTGAAAACTCAGGCGTGCCAGTCTGAACTTCTTGAAAATATTACCAGTCAAAGTAGACACCACTGAGGTTGATAGTCCACAAGTCTGATCTGATCTAAGGCAATTTCTTATAAGAAGCAATGGTTGAGGGCAGTAGACAAGGTACTGGACTGATAAAGAGGAATAAGCACAATCTGTTCCTCATGAAAACGCAGAAGATTATTCCTGATCCTTTAAGCTTCTTATAGTAATTCATTCTTCAAGCTTTTCTCTACAGCTATGAAAATCAGTAACACACTCTCTTAAACCCTGTAGATTTCTATATCCAAATGCCTATCTATTAATAAATAAAAATAACAAAAGAAAAGTGATAGGACTTAGCTGAATGATCAAGTACCTTAAACTGGATGTTTAGAATACAATTGCTCAAATAGGATTATTGAATACTTATGAAATATGAGGGTTGCACAAACCTATCATTGCTTCTCTTTGAATGCCTTAAATCAATATATAAATTTGTTGCTTTGCAATACTGAAGGTAACGAGAACATTCAAGTGAAGAATCTTCCTGAAAGAAAATGACATAGACAAGTGGCATAAAGACGTCCATATGATGCAGCTGGCTGACAAGTATATTAGAAAATAAATTATTTTAACTACATCAAAAATCTGCAGCACTATGGATTTGAAGGAAAAAGGTGGCTCATTGGGGCTAAGGTGGTGGTGACGGCAAATGTTCCCTGCTCCCATACTCAGAAACATGTTTTTGTCTTCAAATTCAAAGTGTTGCACAGCCTTTGCACAGTTCCATCTTGCACACAAATTGCAACCTTTGCAATTCAAGATGCTGGCTGTAACCTTCAAAGCCCTTCATGCCTCAGGACCTAGGAAACTGCAGGATTAGTCCCTCCTGATGACATCTGCCCACCCAATAAGATCCAGATGAATGGATTTTATGTCCCCTTGATTAGAGATTGTCCCCTACTCGGGCTGTGGACACATGACTTCTCAGTTGCTGAGAACAGCATCCCCCCAGATGCTTGAATGCACCCCCCTCCTCCTGGTTTGCAGAAAGTTGGTGACGATTTGGCTATTCCACCAAGCCTCAGGGGCAGGGTTCTTGTACTATCCCTTTAGAGGGTGGATTAGATTTACTATGTTTTGAATACTGATTCCCAAAGGTTACTGTATATAACTTTTTTTTTTAATGAATGGTTTTAGTTTTAAAATCTGATTATCTCTTTTTAATCCCAAATTTAGAGATCTGGGGGGTTTTATGCCACTCGGAATTAGCTGACTCGAGTGGCCTATATACTCAGGAAATAAGGGTAAACAGATGAATATGCCTACCACAGTCTTAGGCTTGCAATGGGTCTTCACATCTTTCATCCTTTCCTTAACATAACCAAAGTCAGCTTGCTTCCAGAAAATATCCTGGGCCTGCTCAATGGTGTTAGCCCTGGCACACAAAAACAATACAAAGGCATCTCTTTGAGAAAAATGAACTACAGCAGAACCAGGCTCTGATTGCTGGGTTCTACTGCACAGTCTTATGAACAACTAGAGAACCCGTGACCCCTTTCAGAGATATTCCCTTATCTAAACAGAGAAACAGAATGATCACAGGTGGGTAAAAAAGCAGTGGGAGCAGGAGCGACTTCTGATTTCTTGCTGCCTATCCCATTGACTTCCCTTATGGGAAACTGGCAGGGAGCATCAGCAACCTTCCTTCCTTCCTTCCTTCCTTCCTTCCTTCCTTCCTTCCTTCCTTCCTTCCTTCCTTCCTT